CCCGTAAGATTGGAAGTATCTAGGCAATGTTTCGATGTAGTCTCATTCATCATCTTCAGGCTTATGTCTTCGACTCTGTGCTTGTGTCTTCGGCAGCTACTTCTTCCTTTTAACTGCTAGTGGGGGTGTGAGTTGATTGGTTGGGGGTTTGGCTGTGTTCTGATTGGTTGGAGGTGTTTTCTGTTCGGGTGAGGGCTTGGTTGTGCTCAGGTTAGTCTTAGTTGCTAGGGGATTTGAGCTGATGAGCTGTAATCCTGCTGTTTGGCTTCGAGTTCATGGTCGTGCCGCATCTTCATGGTGGGTGTCAGTTCGCTTCATCTATGGCCCAGAGGGGTTTGAAGTGAGTAGTGATGCAGCTGCAGTGCGGCTTCTGGTCCGTGGTCATGTCTCATCTTCTGTGTGGGTGTGAGTCTGCTTTCTATGTGGAAGTGTGGTGGCATCTTGTGTGGCCCTCGTGGGTGTGGGTCTGGTGTCATTCTTCATGTTAGGTACTCATCTGTTCATGAGGGCGGGTTTCCAAATGGCTGGTAGGTGGGAGGTGTCATCTCGTTTATTCATGCTGTGTGGGCATTTTTCTATTTCTATGGCTTCTCTGATTATTCTGTTGTTGAAGTGTTCGGTTTTGGCGATAGTTCTGGTATTTTTAAAGTCAATCTCATGTCCTGTAGCTTTGAGGCATTGGACCAAGGAAGAGGTTGGTTCTTCTTTTTTGATTGAGTTCTTATGTTCTTCAATGCGTGCACTTATTCTTCTGTTAGTTTGTCTGATGTATGTGGTGGAGCAGGCGGTGCAAGGGATTTCGTATACTTCTTGGTTTTCTAACTCGATTTTGTCTTTAGGGTTTCTTAGGTTGGTGGATATTTTTCTGTTTGTGCAGAATGCTGTTTTAATGTTGTGTTTTTGGAGGATGTTGCTGATTTTGTCTGTAGTGCCTTTTATATATGGGAGGAGGGCTTTGCCGTTCTCTTGTTCTCTGTCTTGGATTTTGGTTGGGGTTTCTTTTTGGATTAGGTGGGTAATCTTCTTTCTTTGGAATCCATTGGCTGTTAGTACGTTAGTGAGAGTGTGTAGTTCAGTTTTTAGGTGTTGTTCGTCGGCTAAGCATTTTGTTCTGGAGATGAGTGTCTCGGCTACGGAATTGATCTGTGCTGGGTGGTGGTGTGAGAGTGCGTGTAGATAGGGGTTTGTATGTGTTTTCTTCTGGTAGAGGGTGTGTCCTAGGGAGCCATTGGATTTTTTGTATACCAAGACATCTAGGAATGGAAGTTGATTGTTAGCTTCTGTTTCCATGGTGAATTGTATTTTGGGGTGTAGGCTGTTGAGGTGTGTGAGGAAGTTGTTCAGTTTTTCTTTCCTGTGTGGCCAGATTATGAAGGTGTCATCTACCTATCTGAGCCAGAGTTTGGGTTTGTGATCATATTTTTCTAGAGCTTGTGTTTCAAAGTGTTCCATATAGAGGTTTGTGTATATACACACACACACGCGCGCGCACACACACACACACACACACACATATAAAACAATAGTAAATGAAATAATTATTCTATTTGAGTTCAGCTCAGCCATTAATATTGATAGCAATCTTATGTATTTCTATTTAAGACATTTCCATCTTTTAACCAACATTACCCAATAACATCAGTTGTCATTCACTTTAATCACCTATATTTCATATTTTACTCATTACTGTCTTTTACCAAAACAAAAAACAAAACAATGGTTAACAGTAGTCATTAAAATTATTATTCAACTGATATTAATTTCATTAAAAATCTTTCATGTTTCTTTTCAATTATATATTTTTTAAAATCATTGAGAGCCTTATTCTCTTATCTTCTTCGTTTCATTTAATTACTAACAAATATTCCATTATACATCAATGCCAATTTTATCTATCACTTTAATTATCTATCATATTTTCTAACTCTTTTCTATTTCTAATATAACAGTGCTATCTCATGTACCCTTGCAGAATCCTTTCTTTAAGTTAAATTTTTAACAATTGTCTCTGTGTCTTTTAAATAAGCTTATACCTTTAATTCTTGTACACTTTTCCCATTTCTCTATATCTTGTTTCTGTCCTTTATAACTTCTTTTCCTTTCCATCTTCCTCCTCTTTTTCTCCCTCCCCCTTTTGTTCCCTTTTCTATCTGATTCTCCCTTCTGCTTCTTCCTAATGTTATAGTTTCTTTTCAAATTACTCTATTTTTTTGGTTGTTGCTTTAAATCTTAAGTTTTTAACTCCCTTTCCGCCCTTTCCCTTTTTTTACCCAGCTTAAAATCACTCGGTCATTAAAGATGGCTTCTTCTTTGTCCCACCCTTCTTGTTCTACAAGCATTTCTTGTTGTTTTTCATAGTTCAGAATCTCCATTTCTAAAAATTGAAATATGAAGCCAAAAGATCCTCTTCCCTCTTGTGCCTCTTCTTTTTGTTCTTTAAGTCTCATTTTTAGCTCTTCAAGGAGTGATGCCATTTTAAAGATTTTTAAACAACCCCCAATTGATTTTATTTCGTTTCATTAGGATCCACCATCCAAAATTCCTGGAATCACCCAATAATCCAAAGATTTCTTGCTTCTTTTCTCACTTTCTCTTTCCAGGGGCTTTGTTATTTTGTAACAAAGTTTCAGCTACAATGTATCCTTTACAGGTCTTGTTAAAATTCCACTATCGATTCTTTTTACTTCCAGGTGGTCTCCTCTATTTTTCCAGATTCCACCCTCTTTTTTTTTCCCCTCTGCTTCCTTTCTTTTTTGAAATTTTTAAATTATCCAAGAATCTTTATCCCTTTGACACTTTATTTTCAGCTAGAAATAGCCTGTTGATGTCAAAGTGGATTAATATCAATTACTTGTTCAAATCTCTTCTTCTTAACATTCCAAATCAATTAAAACTGTCAATGTGAGAGAGAAAAAAACCAATTCTTTTTCCTTTCTCTTTCGCTGCTTTAAAAATCTTTTTTAGGAATGGTATTAGTCTTTGTAATTCAAGTTCCAGGTACCTTAAATAGATGTTTTCTCTGTTTAACGGTCAGTCAAACTTTCTCTTGTAAACTTCCTCCTGCACAATCTTGTCCAGTTGGGTTGTGTTTGAGGTGGCCATTTCTGACCACTGCTGCAACCGCCTTTTGGGAAACGGAGTAATGGCCAGCCAAGGAGGAGAGAGAACCAACCTCTCCTCAACCCCGCTGGTGGTCTCCTCCTTTTTCACCACCTCTACGGGGTGGCTTCAGCCTGGAATTCAAGTGGCTCGGGGTGCTCCAGTGGTGAGAACGGATTGAAACCATGCATGATCATGGATTTCGGTCTGTCGCCAAAGAAGAGAGGGGAAACTATTTTGTTTTGGCTACAAAACCCCAGCTATCTTTATTTCTCAGCACCATTGTGGCAACACCGAAGCCTCTAAAATGGCCTCAGTCAGGCCGGCTTCAGAGTTTAATCTAGTTTCATAAAATCTATGAACTACATTTATGCAGCTGATGAAATGAGAAAAAACTTAGTTAGAAGCCATAGCATATTTATAATAAAATTACAAGTAAGAAAAAAAATTTACTAGCAGATCCAGTTTACATAGGAAAAATGCACATAGATGATAGTGGGCTGTTCCTTATGGCTAGGTTATGGTGTAATATACTATTTCTTTTTTAAAAGAACTTTTAGTAACTTTTATCAGAAGATAAAAATATAGAAAAAAATGATACTTAGAAAATGAAGAGAAAGAAAAAGTTCAGAAAGAGAAAAACATTGTGAGTTCTGACTTTTTTCAGTGTAGTAAAATATAAATACAATACAACCTCAAACTTTTGCTTTACAGATCACGTCAAGCTATTTCTATGATAAAACCATTTTAATCATCAAAACCTAAAATCCAAGTTTCACTTTTTTTCCATTTCAAGCAAAAATCAATTTTCAAGTAGAAACAAAACTAGATAAATTCTTTTCTTTAATTAAAACAGTCAGTTTCTCCATCTCTGCTAACTCAAATCACTTTTACATGTGCTGTTCCTTTGTAAGAATTAGCGTTCTTTACATCTTTACACAAATAAGATTCTTGCTGAGAAAACTTCTGGTTTCAATTTTATATTTATTGTAAGAATCTTCTGAATTAAAGTAAAATCCTGGTCTCAGTATTGGTACCATCTACCATTTTGTGAGCAGACAAGAAAATATGTCAGATTAACATCTACTGCCCCATTTATGACTTCTATTCAGGCCCAATGAAAGCAAAGGTTCTATATTTTATGTGTCTGCATCCAAGGTAGGATCTACTTCATACTATGGTTAGATATAACTGGGGAAAAGCCTTATTGCCATGTAAATGGAAGAGATCTTTGCAGTCTATTTCCCAGTTCTTCCTTTTGAGCAACGCAATACTGACCATGATATGAAAGCATTTCAGCTCTAGCAGTTTCCCCTGGCCATGATGCTCCCATATCCTTGGTATAACAGGAAATTGAGGAACCATGCAGAATTAGGTAAGTTTTCAGACTTAATAGTCTCATAGAGCAGGTTCTTCAGATCAGTATTTCTCAACCTTGGCAAATTTAAGATAGGTGAACTTCATGCTGGTTGAGGGATTCAGGAAATCCACCCACTGTACAGACATTTAAGTTGAAAACTATGGCTTTAGATTATCATATGCATGACTCTATTTATTTCAACATGGGGCAAACCCGTTTGACAGTGCTTGAAAGCCTTCTGTGTTGAGTGAGACCTTAGGTTTACTGTTCTACCATGGTGGCTTTGCTGTCGTTGTAGTTCCCATGTTATACAATCATTCGGACCAATGCCATAGGGGAATGCTAAAAAATAGTAGAAAACTCATTGATTCTTTTTCCACTCCAGCACAGTTGCAATTTAATGCCAATCACTGCATGTAAGTCAATGCAGTAGCAATCAAAAGAACTATTGACAGTTTGTTAGAATTATCTTTGAGTTATGTTTCTGAAAAGAAATTAAGTACAGTAATAATTTCATGAATTACATCTTGTTTTCTTGTAGCCATCCATTATTCCATTACTGAAGAACTTCCGGCATATGGTTTCAACTGTGGATTTGGCTACAGTTCTCAAAAGACAATCTGTCGCTGGGAACATGATGCCCAGCTGGATTTGAGATGGGCAGTACTCACCAGCAAAACAGGACCCATTCAGGACCACACAGGTAAAGTAGGATTAACAACTGATCCAGTGATAAGTGGGGAAATATAACTATTGTGTTTAAAATAAAAGATCTGCCAGGACTAATATTTACAGATAGTTCTTGATTGATGACCACGTGAACTTACAACAGATCCAAAACAGGACTTAAAATCCAGGTACAAAGTTCCATTGATTGCTCTTCTCCACCAGGCACATGATTGCACGTCAAGCATGCAAAAACACAATCATTTGCAGCATCCCACAGTCACATAACCTCTCTTCATGATGGTTTTGCTGAAAACCAGACCTTCCAGTTTCAGCAAAACCAAACCATAACAAACAATGGGCTCACTTAAACAGCTGATGCATTTGCCTTTGTGACTGCTGTGTTCACTTAACAACTGTTGGAAAAAAGGGTTGTAAAATTGGGTGGGCTATGTGACTGGACCAGTTTGATAACTGTTACAGCTGTATTGGGCAGGCCCCTTTATGGTTGTACCTTGTATCTGTATGTCAATACGGCTTTGCCTTGATGGAAAATAATGGTGCCATTTCAAATCCTGTCCTAGAATTATTAGATTTAATTACTGTGCATAGTTAACCTAGTGCTTTTAAGTGTATGTGTATTTTCTTAAACTTGCAAGATCACTTAACTTCAGTTACTTCTAAAATGTTTTTAGAAGCTTTATTATTAGATAGAAACCCTCATATAGTGAGATGTTAGGCCTTCTAGCTGCTTTTATTTCTAAGGGCAGAAACCTTTTGAACAAAGGGTAACTGTGACCCATATTTCAATTATTCATTCCATTTTTTCATTTATGTAGATAGTCAGAAGTACTAGCAATAAACCTTCCTTTCCCATTTCCATTTTCTACCCCCATCTCCATTTTACTTAATGAGAATGACAAGCAAATTGGGCTCCTTAAATTTAGAGACAGTTCAATTGAATCTTGAGACAAGTCGGTTTAGTTTTTAAGGGGTAGGAAAAAAAACTTAAAATACTTTGACTATGAATGGCACTGTACAAATAAACGGCATCAAATTAAGCAAAAGGCAGTTAGCTGAAATGAAGGCTGTAATAATGAGAAAAATTGATGCAAAGTAAAATGAAATGACTCAGTGAGAACTGACATTGAAGGGAGGTTAAAAGCCACATTAGCCAAGGACTGACAGAATCTAAAAGGCATGCATATGTTGAGCTGTAATTAAGACAAAAAAGGCAGAGTTCTTGACCCAGAATTGCAATAATATTCTTGAAATGAAAAATATTTGAACTTTGCCATGAGTGTCTAGAGACAAGCATGACTTGTCCTCTCACTGAAGGGTTGGGGAGGGGTGAATTATATCTCTCAAATGAGATTTTGTTAGGAACAGATATTCTATGCTTTTCACATTTCTAAGCCATAATCTGAAAACAGATACATAAGGAGTTTTACACATACACACACACACACACACACACACACACACACACACCATATACTTGATATCCTTTTTCACTATCTTCAGCTTCATAGTGCCTCTATGTAAAAGAACAATTGCTATTCCTGCACCTCTTTACATAGAATAGCCATTTGACATGTTCTCTCTTGAAAAATGGTTTGACTATGTATGGAAATGAATAAATGAATTGGTTAAGTACCAAAGAGCTGCGAAGGCTCATTCCAAAAACTGCAGGCTGGAATACAGAGAAACAGAATTGGGGTGGAAAATCTACCCTCACATACAGCAGCTAAATCCCATCAAATATAACTGAGCTTGAATATATACAAACAGCAGTTAAAGTATTTCTTTAAGGCCTGGAAATATACCAGGTAGCCATAACCCCTCCTGCCTATTCTTTCCCTATCCCAACCATTGGTTCTTTGATTTGGGGCTGGTGAAGAAAAAAGAAGTATGGTGATGATTAGGATGTTGGGTTAGTCATCAGCTGTGTGGATAATGTCTTCCTGTGTGGTGGGTGAGCTCCTGTCATTCACTCTACCTCCTGCCGAACAAGCAACTTGAAAGCATGCAATTGCAAGTACCTCTTTGGTGGGCAGATTAACAGGGACATGGAAGGAGCTGCCAACTGGGGATCCCCTGGACATCCGTGATGTCTCTGGCTAAGTCTTTCAACCCAGAAATGCCTTGGTGTTTCCGACCCAAACACAACTGCAAATAGAAATTATGTGTTTTACCAAGCAAATGAAAGGAAGGGTTTCTGTACTTCCCCATATACCTGGGTTAAAGAAATGGATTTGTGTTCTGGTGGCAATATTGACAATAACTTGTTTCCCTTGTTTTAAAGTACAGACGAAGCTATGGCTAAAGTATTCTTCAATCCACCTTTTTGTAGCAAACTAATCTGACATTCACTTTCCAAAGTAATGTGAGAGAAAAAAATTATCTGCTCTTCTACCTATTTAATGCAGCTTCCCATTCAATAACTTAATACTGCTCCATACAAATAGTACATTTTATTACAAATTGCATTTCAAATACGTACATATTTTATAAGGGTTCTACCATAAAGCACAGGAAATACATACATAACAAATGAAAATTGGATGGGATGAATTGATCTGAGTGGAAACACATCTTAATATCTCCACTCTTACTACCCAGCATATTGTTCCTTAAGAATCTCTCCATGTTGTTACTAAAATGATGCCTTACCATTTAGAAAATCAGGAATGTTCATGCCTTAATGAATTTCAGTTTGTTGGAAGAGGAAGGTGAGGCAGGCATACCCATACATGCCAAGATATTTCTCAGTAAGCTTTTCAGTTGCAGCTCCTTAGAAAAGTCTGTTCGTGTTGTAATGCTTGAAGTTTATCAGATTAAAGGGAGTCAAAACTTGGTCATTGTGTCTAATGAAGTGTTTTGTCACAATAGGAGATGGCAATTTTATTTATTCCCAAGTTGATGAAAACCAGAAAAGCAAAATTGTACGCCTCATCAGCCCTATCATCAACCTGCAAAATTATGCCCTTTGCATGACTTTCTGGTATCATATGTCGGGCCCTCACGTCGGCACACTAAGAATCAAACTGCGGTACCAGGTCCCTAAAGAATACGATCGGGTCTTATGGACACTAAGTGGAAATCAGGGAAACTGCTGGAAGGAAGGACGGGTTTTTCTCCACAAATCTGTGAAACATTATCAGGTAGGCCAAGAAATTTAAGCATAAAAGGGCGCTGGGTCAATAGCATTCCATGCATTGTGCATGACTGAATCCCCACATTTAGTTATCTTTCGTGGGGAGAAAAGCTATAGAGTTAAAATTGACCCTTGAGCTTAGGTGGGTAAGGTTTATTTAGAAACAGACAAAAAATTCTAGACCAAAAGTGATCTTCTTCTTCTCCTTCTCCTTCTTCTTCTCCTTCTTCTTCTCAGTCTTCGTCTTCTTCATCATCTTCTCCTCCTCCTCTCCTTCTCCTTCTTCTACTCCTCTTCCTTCTCCCCCCTTTCCTCCTCCTCCTTCCTCTTTCCCATCCTCTTCCCCCATGTCCTCCTTTTTTTACTGCACTGGCTGATAATAAAATATAGACTTCTAAACTCCAATTTCAAAAACTAAATCTCAATGGTAATTGGTTAAGGGTTGAAGTGGTTGAAGTGAACCTCCTATGTGCAAAACAAAAGGTCTCTTGCTATAATGATATGTAAGAATGAGTTTGGAAAGTGGGTGGGGGAGATAAATGCTATCTTGGAAACAGCCAGATAAGAAAGGGCATAGCCCACAGCTGCATAATGAGCAGAGAAAGAAGTTCAGCAGGGAGACACACACACATACACACACACACACACACACACACACACACACACCACCACAAGTTCCTAGGTGGCAAAGGAGACAATGTGAGATTTGTACTTTCAGACTTGCAAGATTCTGTTAACACAATCTTACAATAATATAGAATTGGTCATGTTTCTTGTCTGGTCTGCCAAGAAAGGCTGATACCTGCCAATCTTCTGCATTCCTTTCCATAATACATCCTTCTCCTGCTTCTTCCTTCATGCCCATTGGAGTGCTGGTGGAGGGACCCATTGCTGTTGCCATAAGTCTGAATCAATTATTTGCAAAGTGCTTTTGTAATAAACATAAATCCTCGGGTTGCCCTAAATCCATAGGTTGACTACCCTTGTCTTAAAAAGATTTCAGGAGTGGGAAAGACCCAAGGATCTGCTGCCAATAGAGGCTGGCAATATTGATGTTTCTTTCACTTAATACAACTTCTCAATGCGATGCTTTCCTGATGTGCTTGGGGGACAGCTTCCAGAGTTCCTAATCATAACATTCAAAAAGCGTGTTGGCTAAAAATTCTGAGACACTCAATATGTCTATGAAGCACTAGGTTGCAGAAGACAGACATAATTGTATCATCATATCTAATTATATTTACACTGTTTGGGTTTGGGAAAAGCAAAGTCTGAATTATTCACTCTGTATTAAATATGAACTTGGCCATCTATACCCTGTGGCATCAAATCTACAGGTGAATGCAATTCTGCTCTCATTTTTTTTCTTATATTGTTTGTTTTGGGGGAGGGGAATCCTTTCTTTGACCCAACTTACGTATAGTTTAATATTTTATACATGAATCTATATTATGAAAAAAGTACAGGAGTCAAAAATAAGCCAAGTAGAAATACAGAATTATAGCAATAAGTTTAACATGTAAACATATTGGAAGAATCTCTTTGAAGGCCACAGGAGAATCTCCCAGAACAGAGTCTTCCACTGCAGAAGACTCCTTATCACCAGCACCATCCATCAGATGGTGAGACTCCTGTACTTTAATCATACCTTTCATAAGACTTTGGTTTAACCATTCTGGGTATTTTCATTTGAAGCTTAAAATAACTCTTCTTTCCACCATGGTTTGTAGCTCAGCTGTATATTGGGAAACATCTTGTCTTTTCCTGCTTCCTCTTCCCCTTCCACTAAAGTGGTGCTCACATTGGATCTATGACAATTCACCAACTTGCCATGGCCAACTCACTGCAGGTCAACCAGCTACGGCCAATTTGTCACAGGGTAACTTGTTTCAGGCAAAAGTTACCCTAGTATCAAATAAATGATGGAATAGAATCATTAAAGAAAGGGTGCAAAAGGACAGACAGAATGCAAATGGCAAAAATGAAAATATTTTTATTTATTTTAAATAATTAAATGGAATTGTTAAATTGTGTCACAGTGAGTTGCCACACGGTGAGTTGACCATGGCGAGTTGTCCTGCAGTGACTTGGCTGTGGCCAGTTGGCCACAGTGCCTTGGCTGTAACAAGTTGATTCATTCCCACTCAACATTGGAAGTCAGTAAGGTTCCACAGTTTTTATTTGTTCTTTTAATTTAAAAACAATAGGAGGTAGGCTCATATAGGTCCCTCAGGTATTTTTAGAAAATAAAATAATGTGTGAGAGTAGCTCAGTGCTATCTTCAAACAGAAAAAGACAATAGAGGAAAATTAAGCTGGAGTTGCAAAAAGCATTCCATATCACTAAGGAAAGAAATGAACAACCTCAATTTGCCTTCTGGTAAATCCCATAGCATCCATCTAAAATGCCCACAATCCCAAAGGATAATTTAATCCACCACATGATAACAGAATCAAATAAAGGGGAACATGTTCCTTATTAGCTACTTCTGTAAAAATTTCTCAATATCAATTATGTTAGAAATATGCAAATCTGCAAAGATTATGTTCTAACTGTATGGATGTCTGAATGCTGATTTACCTCACAACAATACAATCTGTTTTACACTTTACCCCTGAAGGTAAAATTGCACTTTCTCTGAAAGAGTTGTTTCTTCATAAAGTGGTACTTTCTTGAGCCTTGATAGATAACAGAATATTGGTCTCCTTCAATGTATGCTTGCTTAAAAAATCAGTAACTAGTCTTTGTTCTGGCCCTTAAACAGCAAAATGTAATTTATTTTTATCAGGTAATGGTGGAAGGAGAAATTGGAAAGGGAAATGGAGGAATTGCAGTTGATGATATTAACTTTGACAGCCACATATCACAAGAAGAATGCCGAAGTAAGTATGACTTGGTAGTAACTATAAAATTTAACATACTGAACACCGTGGATTCTACTGGTGATTGTTATTGTTGTTATTACATTTTTATTTCCACCTTTTTAATAAATGCTCAAGGCAAAGATTCTACCTATACATAACCTAAAGGTTATAGCAATCTTGTTAACAAATGTTGGATTTTATACATCGGTAATTAATTTACCTTTATTTTTTTCCTACCCTGTGTTTTTCATATTTCTCTTCTGAACAAGTTACTGCAAGAGCCTAGTCCTGTGCAAAAATAGTGATAAAAATGTTTGATTTTGAGTAGCTTAAGCTTAAATAAGCTTCATAACTGACCTGGAGTGTGAGACATCCTAACTAAGTCTGCTTAAAATAGAATTAGGTTAACCATTCATACAAATATTAGTTGGTGCAGCTGTAACCCTATAATATTAATGCCAATCCCAGAATGGACTACAACAGAGGTTCTCAACCTTTTCTTCACTATGAAATCCCTTTAAATAGCTTCTTTGGCATAGACCCCCAAGATTTAACTCAAAATTTAAATTATAACATTTCTTCAAACCTTCCAAGGAGTCCGCAGACCACAATTTAGAACTACTGGACAACAATAAAACCATCCAACACTACAATAAATTAAAATCAATTAAAATTATTGCAGTTGAAACCATCAAAATAGTTTACCCTTAAAGGTCTGAGTGAAAAGATTGATCCTAAACTTACTATAGGTAACTTACTTACCTTTAGGCTAATTTTGGAATTAATTTCACATGTTTTTGGTCATTCAGGTCAAAGTCTTATCAAATAAGAGTTTAAACAGAAGGTTTTTGTTCTAATATCTTTAGATATGCACTGCAGTTAACATAATTATTTTCATGGCTAAAGGATACTTATGACTGATTAATGGCATTGGTTTTCAAGATTATAAATGCAATGAATGAAACATGCTAATTTTATACGTGGATTTTCATTTCTCTGAGATAAAAATCCCCTGCTGATAGCACTAAAACTATGCCATGCTATGGTAGAGAGAGGGCTTTTTTCTCCTTTGCTAATTTTGGAAAAATCAGGTTAATGAACAACTCCATCAAGCTAACATAATCATGCTTAGAAAAGAAATAAAAATTCTCAATATCATTATTGGCAGCATGATAACCCGTCAGTATTTGCCGTTATAATAACCAATGTCAATTTTCTTTTGCTTAACAGAATCAAATGATGCAGGGAATGAACTAGTTGAAGTAGAACCAGATATTAATCAGTCCAATCTAATAAAGTCATACAATTATTACTAACATGCTTGTTTGCCTATAGCACTCAATATTGTTTACATGTTTTGCATTTTTTATGTAAGAGAGGAATAAATGCAGATAATATAATAACCAATAATACAGTGTAAGTTTTTTAAGAGGATTGTGTCAAATTCATCAATATCCATTGCTTATATTGTTTTTAGCAAAATAGCCATGATCAAATATCTATGGCGATTCTCGGTCATTCAGGTCATAGTTGTCCAAAAATGCTTTTTCAAAAGGCAACTGGACTTTGTTTTTCCTTGAAAATGTTTCACTTCTCATTTGAGAAGTTTCTTCAGTTGTCATCCTAGAACTTCTTCAGAACTGAAGCTTCTTGGATGAGAAGTGAAATGTCTTCAAGCCCAGTTGACTTTTGAAACAGCACTTTGGGGACAGGCATGTTCAAACGTATCAACAGTTGCTCTAATGAATGCATTGTAGTGGCAAATCAAAGAGGTATTTTCCTTAACTGGCCTGGAGAGTGGTTCTGATCATTTTAATTCTTCAGGAAAAAACATTAGAGAATCTAATTGCAATCTCTCCAACTCTCCCATAATTGCACTTGAGTAAAAGGGGGGGGGAGGGCAAATTCTTTAGCTTGAAAATATTGAACATCTGACATCAACTACTGTTAGTTCCTAAGCCTTTAGAACAAGAACTATTTCAAAGCCATCTCTGCAAGCAACTAGGGGCAGACATCTGGTGAAATTTGTGTTTTCCAGCTGCCTGCTCCTTCATAGAAAAAGGGAGGGAGGGGAGGAGGGGAGGGAAGAAGGAAGGAAGGAAGGAAGGAAGGAAGGAAGGAAGGAAGGAAGGAAGGAAGGAAGGAAGGACAGACGGACTCAATTTTTGGCTTATTACTCAGGGGATGCATCTCTTAATAGGAACCTCTGCTTGCATTAGAAGTAGACAGGATTTTTATATAAAGTTCTTTACATTAATGCAGTACTGAAATCAAATATGCATTTGAGGGGGAATATTATTCTAAAACTACTTTTTTAATATTTTGACTTATTCTCAGGGCATTTAAGAATTTATTACCAAAGTATTCTTGATGATCTTTGTGAACTTATTTTGGAGAGTAAGGCTACTTTGGCAGAAAGGCTATTGCTTGGATTATACATCTTTCTATAACTCTGAGGTTTCTCCTATGATCGATATTTCCAAATCGAAATGACACACGAAAATGGTTACAAGAGATTAATTTAATAGAAACCAGGAAGGGCTACAGTTTGCTGGATAAATTACTGTATAATGAAGGACAAGATTCTTATGAGGAGCCAATTCTATTTCACAAAATCAAATGTATAATTTTTCTGCAGTGCTGTATTCTCAGCTGCTGTATAATTTGTACAATATCTTGTAACAGGACAAAGGCAATGGTTAAATTTGTTTCAGTTTTTGGAAACAGGGAAAAAAAATCTCTGTTTCCATTGAGTTGAAACTGGAGATGAAGCACTTTCTACAACCTAGTCCATACTCCTCTTCCAGTGCAGATGTAAAATATAGAAAAGCAAAACCAAAAATCAACCTCTTAATTCAATGCCTAAATTTTAGGTACTATGTTTAATGCTTAAATGAGGATGAAAATATATATTCTCAGATATTATGAAATATAGCAATACACACACACACACACACACACACACACCAGAAGTGGTATTCAGCAGGTTCTGACCAGTTCTGGAGAACCGGTAGCGGAAATTTTGAGTAGTTCAGAGAACCAGCAAATACCACCTATGATTGTAGATTTTACATTATCCTTCCCCTGCCATGCCCACCAAGCCACTCCCACAGAACTGGTGGTAAAAAAATTTGAATCCCACCACTGATACACACACATGTACAAGAGAAATGAAGAGACTTCCAATTCAAAATCAGTGACCAACTTAAGTTATAAACTTACAGCATTGTCACACAATACCAGTTAAGCTCGTCTATCTTCTTTTCTTTTTTCTTTTTTAATTTACCCAGCTTTAGCTATGCTGCCACCCCATGATTTCTGTGTCTCTTTGTTCTTCTGTAGAATTTACTCCTGATTACCGTGAAAATGGGGAGCCTCATAATGACAACATCTCCCGAAAGCCAGGCAATGTGCTGAAAACACTTGACCCTATTCTTATTACCATCATCGCTATGAGTGCCCTGGGTGTGTTGCTGGGCGCCATCTGTGGGGTCATTCTGTACTGCGCCTGTTGGCACAATGGGATGTCCGATAGAAACTTATCTGCACTGGAGAACTACAATTTCGAACTTGTGGATGGTGTGAAATTAAAAAAGGATAAATTGAACACACAGAATACGTATTCAGAAGCATGAGGTAGAGGAGGAGGAGGAGGAGGAGGAGGAGCTCAAACATTTCAAACAATTGAGACAGAAAAACTTATAGATCTCCCTTTTCTGTACAGGCTGAAAACTGCGTTGAAGACGCTGAGCCAAGCTTTTCTCAGGAGCTTCAGTGGGTGTACCAGATATTCTAAGACACGGACAACAATCTGTGTTAAACAATCTGAATCATGTACAGTCTACTTCTGTTTCTGTTTTAATTTGAACTATTCAAATGCTGGTGTTGAGACCAAGTATGATTCACTTAAGAGGGGTATTCTGTTTTGGTTCTGCCTTTTTTTCTTCTTCCTCTTCTTCTTCCCTTCTTCTTCCCTTAGCCCCTCCATTTGTTGTTTTCTTCCCTTCTGTCTCCCCACCCCACTCTGGGCCCATAAGTACTTGTTTTTTTACTGTGCAAAAATCCAAGATGCTGTCAAAACATGTAATTTGGCAGGAGTCCATTGGATGGACATCCTGTTTGTAGCTGAGTGCCCAGAAGGAAGAACATCAGAGTAACAGCAATTTAATGGATTCCTGATACTGTATTTGTGTATAATTGCTTGTGTCGTGCATAGGCAAAGGAGGGTTAGGGTGTTTGTTTTTGGGGGGTGGTGGGGAAGTACTGTATAGTCAGTACTGGTATAGTGTGTCAACTCTGTTAACCAAGCAATACGGTCAGAATTTATTGGTGTTTTTCAGTGTTGTACTCCACCTTTGTGCTTGTGAACTCCATACAAGAGATATGTGCCATCACCTACGAATAATTGGCAAACCAGGCATCCTACATTGAATTATTGAATTGTAATGAGAAAAAAGCAAAAGTCCTTGGCACTGGCTCGTTTATGTCTTCTCAAGTGCCTTTTTGTTGTATTGCTCCTCATTGCTTTATCATCAATTCCTTCTTTGTCTCTATCCTTTCCTCTCTCTCTCTCTCTCTCTCTCCCTCCCTCCCTCCCTCCCTCTCTCTTCCTTGCTCTTTTTTTTGCCTAAGAGCTACTGACTAACAAGAAATTATATTTTGCCATAAGTAAAACCTTAGGAAGGCAAGGACTAACAAAAAAAGCTTGGCAACTTTCAGCTAATTCCTTCGCTTCCTATCATTATTGCTCAACCCCCTTTTTCTTAAAACCTGCAGTTTCGCCCCTGTCCTTCTATTTTTTATTGTTTTTTTCATACAGAATGTATTTTCAAATATAAGTCCTCTCTGTTTTTGCTTTTCCCCTCTTCTGTCTCTGAATAGATTGTTACATAAGCATTTGCCATTGTCAAGGTAAGGAAAATGTAGCTAATTTGCTGGTAATGGCAAAAAAGAAGATTTTGTTACATTTTGTCTTTGCTTTTATTGCTGTATTTTAAAATAAGGGATATGTCTTAATATTACCTTCCAGAGTTGATCTTTGGGTTTCTTTTTAGCAGCATTAACTGACATTATGTTTTTTTTTCTCTCTCCTTTAGTAAGCCATGAAGTAAGTCTTTTAATTCTGTCCAAGATGTTCATATAAATCGATGGCAATGAGAATTTGTTGTTGATGTTGAAGAGCAAAGAATGTTTTTCTCATCCATCTAGCTATCCAATTTAAGGGTAATTGTTTCTGCGCAGGACTCATTCATGCTAATGTAGAGGCATACTTATATTGCTACAAATAATAATGCATTGACTTTGCTAATAATGGATTTGCTTAAAAAAAACATTGTATAACATGTCCTAAACTGGATTTAAAATGAGTACTGTTAACATTCTAATGAGAAGGAATTGGGGCTCTTGTGCTGCTTCCATTCAGTTATCAATAGTAGCCATGTTTTAAGAATTAAGTCAATCTCCAAAAGACACAATTAACTCTTAAAGATCTTAAATCATAACAAGCATTCAGGGCACTATGAACTGATTTTGTCACATTGTTTTATGTGGTATTCAACTGCACCTTTGATTAAAAACAGCTGGTGTTCACCACACCAGAGCAAATGTTTAACAACTCTGCTCTTGTTGTAAATATGAGTTATCATCCAAAGAAGGTTTATTGAAGTAAAATATCTACCATGAAAAAAGAATCATAGTGACAAAAGATTATATGAATTAATTGTTTTAGTTATCCAATTTACACTGTAATTGAATGATCTAGTTAATTATCCCAAAGAGAAGATCAAATGCAAATAATTTTTACTGCACTTCTTTCATGTACATTTAGTTGCATCATGTATTATGGACTCTATGTCAATAATTACATAGGCATCTTAAGATCTGTGACAAAAGTGCGTACAAACATTATTTAAGAGGGGCAGATTTCATTGCAAAAGGATGTACTTTCTAGAACTCAAAAAGTAACAGATACAATATTAATCTTGGTATGGAAAAAAGGATTTTTAACCATTTGTGCACATATGAATTAAATCTGCTGCCTATAAATCAGACTTCAGGTAATCCTCAACTTGAGGATTGAGCCAAAAATGTATGTTGTTACATGAGACATTTGTTAAGTGAGTTTTGTCTCATTTTATGATCTTTCTTGCCATAGTTGTTAAGTGAATCACTGCAGTTGATAAGTTAGCAACATGGTTGTTAAGTGAATCTGCTTTCCCTATTGACTTTACTAGTCAGAAGGTCACCAAAGGTGATTATATGACCTTGGGATACTGCAATTGTCATAAATATGAACCAGTTGCCAAGCATCTGAATTTTGATCACATGAGCATGGGGATGTTGCAAAGGCCATAACTGTGAAAAACAGTCATAAGTGACATTTTTCAGTGCTGAACAGACACTAAATGAGCTGTTGTAAGTTGAGGATTACCTGTAGTAGGCTATGTAACTCGGTATTGACTATTATAATGAGCAGCAATTTCTATTATTTCTCAAATTAAGTCTCATCTTTCTTAATTCATTTGTATGAAATGATATGCTGGTGTCTGAATTTATGTAGGTAAAGATGTACTCTAACATTGGGCTTTTATTTCCATTCAATATCATCAATTCATTATTCAACTTTTCAGTTATTTTCAGTCTATTCTGTAAAAATCCTCTTTACTGAAGACGTTTAGGCTGATACTGGATAATATGAAAGCTGCATCATTGATTTAAGCATGTGAATAGCCACGTCATGCTACTTTAAAACAGCTGAAAAGCATACATGGGTAAACTATCCCTACCATCATTCTTGAGTGGAGTACAATCCATACCATCACTGTGTTTACTTAACACAAACAAATGTGTTAGGCATTGTATAGAACCCAAAGTAGGCATTCTCACTACATCAGAAGAACTAATGGAGAATTTGTGACTGTCCACATATTGGATTCCAATTTTCATTAATCTGAATTAATTAGACTAATGATCTTGTAGTGCAGTGGTGTCAAACTCATGGCCCACGGGCCAAATCCAGCCCACGGGCTGTTTAAATCTGGCCCATGGGGTCACCCTGGAGATAGCTAAGGACCAGCCCACAGTGCCTCTGGCAGCTAAAATGGGACGCGGGTCCCCCGCGTCTTGTTTTGGCTGGCAGAATGCTGCAGGAGGCCAGACAGGCTGAAAACAAGATCTGACCAGCAGAGCCTTAAATCTGGCTCACGGGGTCGGCCTAGAGATAGCAAAGGACCAGCCTGTAGTGCCTCTGGCAGCCAAAATGGGACACATGGCCCCCCGTGCCCCTTTTTGGCCAGCAAAGTGCTGCAGGAGATATCTGTCCTGTCTCCCCACCCAGCCAGCCCACAGAGGAGAACCACAATGCTGATTCGGCCCTCAAAGAAATCCAGTTTGACACCCCTGTTGTAGTGCAACTTTCAGATGACCACAGGTAACAGCTCTCACATTCTTAACTTAAAGACACAGTCCTGTATACATTCCCAATATATCACCCTGTATTCAGCAAGATTTGAGGAAAATACAGTAGAGTTGCATACATACATAAAGAATGCGAACACAAGCATTGTCCTCTGATAATATAAACATGATAGCATGAACAGGCCCTGCATATAGCTTTTATTTTTGTCCCCTTTAGCTAAAAGGAAAATCACATTCCTGGAGCTCTAGTCTAATTTTAAATTATTTGACTTTGTTTAAATGACTGTGGGGTTAATTGTTTTCTTGTCATTGGAACAGATAAGTTTTAGCAGCAATCCACCTGATATCACCATTATGCATCCTCCATTAGTTTCAAAAAGTGGTAGTTAGCTTAAGCCAGTAAAGCAGAGGTTTCCAAACTTGGCAATTTTAAGACTTGTGGACTTCAACTCCCAAAATTCCTCAGCCAGCTATTCTGGAAGGATCCACAAGTTTTATTCTGAAGTCCACAAGTTTTAAAGTTGCCAAGTCTGGGGACTCCTGCAATAAGGTATGTAAGACAAAAGCATTACCCATTGCAAACTTTCGTTTTGTAATTCCATCCTAATGCAGCTCTCCATGCAAAGAAGGATCTTGTAAGTGTAATACTACAACATCATGGAAAGTAAAGTTCAGAATGTTTTGTTTTGTTTTTTAGCACTGAGTGAATATGCCAGAGCAAATATGTGAACTTAGCCAGATTGCTAATTGTATGAGCAAAGTAAGGAAATCCCGGTTATGTAGCTGTTTAATCCTGGAGCAGAACACCGAGTTCTGATGTTAGAAATTGAATGAAAACTGCCCTTCAGAAAAAGAAAAAAAAATGATACTGCAACTTTAAATGAGATAAAAAAAAATCTTGCACTGAAAAATATATTTAAGAATTATATGTTTATAAAGTTATTAATTTGTAAAGGCAGTGTTACAAAATGTTCAGTTTATATTGTTTTAGATTGTTTCATAATTTTGAAAGTGTAAAATAACATATTTTTTCTTTATCAAAAAAAACCTATAAAATTTCTTCTGTAGTAAAATGATTTCATTTTACTGGTATATGATTGCTTCATGTTTTGTATCATTATAAATTTTGTGCAAATTTTTTTACAGAATTTTTTTATTTTCTATGACAATATGACACTTTTAAATTGTTATTTCAAAATGAACAGCAAAGCCTTAACTTTAAATGACGTTTGTATTCTCGGACACTGAATAGCATTTAAAAAAAAGGATTGAATTGTAATTTAAATTTGCAGACAATGACTACTACATTCCAAAGAAACAGTTGAATTAAACATTTTCATAAAATACCCATACATTCATGACTTTTATTATCCTTACAGTTCTGTCAATTAAAAAAAACATTAACTTTAAGACATTCTTTAAGAAACACAATTGTAATTCATATACTGCATATCCTAAACCGTCTAGCAATGAATACCACATTCAAAATTTACATTCAGGACTTCCAGAATATTCCACAAGACATTACTGTCATTAGTTTATCAGATACTGAGGTCAAAATTCTTCATTGAAGCTCAATTAAATTGGGGCCTCTACTGATATTCCAAATACTTCCTTGAGAACAGAATAAACACCAGACAGTTTTCTGCATCTAGATGAGTTTTGCTGAATGATCTTTACAGGGATAGCAGATACATTTGGAATCTTAAAAACATCTCTCACAAAATGTTTTCCATGAGAAAAAAAAAATTTGTTCCAAAATGGTTGCCATCATAAACCTAATCACTAGGCAAACATCTTACTTAAGTTTTTGTTAAGCTTATGGGCATTTTCAAACAATGCAGCCACCCATGAATATCTATTTGTGACCTGGAAAAATGATGATAAAGAAAAATGATGCTTCAATCTGGCCCTTTAGTTTTCAGCCTTCTATTTATGTTTTAGTTTTTAAAAAAATCTAAATTAGCATTAGGTAGACGAGGGAGCATGATGAATGACAATGAAGACTGATAGCCACAATTGTACTACACTGTGTAGTTCTCGTCATGGATTAACTACTAAGCGAATCAATCACAGAAAAAGGACATCAAGGGAAGAAGGATACCACAGAATTCTTCCTCCTAGGTATCATGCCCCTAACTTATTTTGCTTTACCATCTTTGGTAGAGTGTTAAAAAAATTAAAAATATGATTAAGAATAGTTTTCAATAAAGTTTTGCATTTGCATTTTCCCTTTATAACAATTTTTATCAAAAATGCATTTAAACTGTTGAAAATTCGCATATTTTGTTGTTGTCCTGGTTATAATAAATAATGTGTTTATATTGCTTACTACTATTTAGTGTTAATAAAGTTTTTAAAATGGTATTTCCTTATTTATATAGTTGTGGGAATAGCCTGGAAGAAAACTGAATTTTTAAATTTCTATTTCATGTTCAGTACTTCAACACTTACTGAGTCTTAATATTTTGTCAGTCAAGGGAAGACCAAGAGTGGTTATTGTTGGGCTGTGCCTTAAGGCATCAGTAGCTTTAATCTAGTTCTGCCATGATCTCTGAAAAATAGAACATCGTTATAGCTATACATTCTTTGACCAGGCAGTAGAATTGACAAGGAAAGAGGTAGAAAATTGACAAATGAAGAAAACAATGGCCAGATAGCATGAGACCAGCATGGTCAAAATAGGTCATAGCCAACAAGTGTTTCTTTATAAATTTTATCAGATTTGCACAGAATCTAACTGGTCCTATTAAACATGGAACTGCAGTATTATTCTCTGGTCACTACCCCATGGAAATGGATGAATTGATTCTCCAGCAAAGAAGTTGGGCTTGGCGTTCATGAAACTACAAAGTATAACAATCCAGCTACTTCAAATCAAAGACCTATTTCTTCCAGTACTGAATCCAGTGGTGGGATTCAGCTGTTTCACACTAGTTCAGGTGAACTGGTTGTTAAATTACCCACCCCTGCGATCAAAGTGGATCCTGGGAGCTGCATTGCGCTACAATGGAGAACAGAGGAGCTGGCACAAGGGAACAGAGCAACAAGGCAGCTGGTGCAAGGGAAGGAGAAGGCTGCTTTCCCTCTTTCCTGTTCCTCCTCCTTCCCTCGTGCTGGTTGCTCCATTGCCCATTTCTCCATTGCAGCGAAACTTTGATAGCAAGGTTGGGGGGGTAATTTAACAATCAGTTGACCTAGGGTCAGGTTGGCTATCATGCAAGGCTCTTCCCGCATGTGAGGCAGAGCTGGAGGACAGGAATGAGCCAGACCTTGCACAACAGCCAACCTTACCCTGGATGAACCGTTCTTTACGTTATTTGAATCCCACTACAGACTCTAATTCTACAGTTAAAATCAGAAACCTATGGAAGGACACGATTCTAATAGCAGTCTTGCCTCCACTGCCAGCTAAAGGTTATACGGGATCATCTTCTGCCATCCAAAGATTTGCATTTTTAGAATAATTCTGGAAGATAAGTGATAGTGTCCCTTAATTTTGGTACCTTAGCCTATACCTATTCAGTCTTAGTCTAAAGCTGGCCTTTCTTCACTTTCAACAAGACATAAACACTACCATGTAATACCACATCCACATGGGATTGATCAATTGTGCAAGAACTTTATTCAACATTGGATTAAAATCGGGGAAACCCAAATTCAGCTTTAATTCAACCATTGAACCTAGATAACTTAGATTAAATATAAACCT